CTGACACAATCATCCATTTTGAATGCGTGTGTTTTGGGATAGACGCGTGCTGAAGCTTACGGTGGGCACACCTTAAGTTCAGAGGAGCCAATCAGCGCATTGTATATGCTGACGCTTATGTATGGGCACACCTTAAGTTCAAAGGAGCCAATCAGCGCATCGTTATCGCCGACATGCCGTGCTCAGCCTGGGTGTCCAGTTGGTCAAACATTATACAACACGCAGTCGCGCTGCTGCGGTCCTCTGCATTATATCTGTTCGTGCACGCAAAGAATACAACAGATAATTATAACAAGCGATCGCGGTAATGCGCAGATTATAGTCCACAAATCTAAAATGTATAACGTAAAAATAACTTTATAATTTATTATTTTATACAATTTGCCGAGGGTCCGAACAGAGGAGGTCCGGACAGAGGAGGTCGGCGGTCCGGTCGTGGATCGCGGTCCGCCAGTTGAGGAAGACTGGTGTAGGGGTTAGAGTTAGGGTTATGATTAAGGTTCGGGGTTAGGGTTAAATAACCACAAAACAAGATTAGATCAGAAAACCTTTATTTGCCTCACAATGGCCAAATTTGCAATTTACAGCAGCAAAATGTGGAGGGAAGAAAGTAGAAAAACGAAGTGTTTGCATGCACAAAATAAAGTCAGAAAATAAACTGTACTCAGTCCAGAATGCAAGATAAAATATGAGATCTAAGCATATATGCAACTGCATGTATGCTGCACAAGGTGGCTGTGCTATTTAAAATGGGTGAGTGGGGGTGAAAATAAACTGCTCGACTATTTTCTGACATAGTTGTTCACAAAGAGGTGAACATTTGACCCCATCTTTGCTTGTGAATGACTGAGCAGCTCAGGGAAGCTCCTTTTTGACCCAATCATGGCACCCACACCGGTTCCCAGTTAGCCTGCTCACCTGTGGGATGTTCCAAACATGTGTTTGATGGGCATTCCTCAACTTCCTCAGTCTTTTTTTGCCACCAGTTCCATCTATTTTGAAACACGATGCAGCCATAAAATTCAAAGTTAAAGAGTATTTGCTATAAACTATCAAGTTTATCAGTTTGAACACTAAATGCCTTGCCTTTGGAGTGTATTCAATAAAATATCGGGTAAACGTGATTTGCAAATCATTATTATCCGCTTCCATTTATCTTTAACACAGCACCCCAGTTTCATTAGAATTGTTTTTTTACTTTTTGTCTACCGACCACCAATTGCTACATACCACGCTGATGCGTGACACATTGCTTTTTTCCAAACATTTTAATTGTCCCACGAATGAATAGCATCAACCAGTGTGAATTGACAGCCTCTGAAGTTTCTCACAATAATTGCTCATGATGACAATTACGTCACAGTGTGTGACCTTTTATGACCGCCGAATCCATCCATTATTCATTCTGTCCATTTTCAAATGACAGTCAAAAATGCAAAAAGAGTGACTTAACAAATTTTCTTTTAATCTAACACAAAAAAAGGATTCATTTTATTATCTTCCAAATTTTGGTTGAAAACAAAACAAATTATACTGGAAGTTGGGTAACAAGCAATTAATAAAAGATACATTAGTGTGTTAGCTACCAGGATCACACCAAAATGCACCAAATAATCTATCAGTTGTCATATATGGATAAATGTGTTTTAAACACTGTTGGAATCATTTTCACGCATTACGTCAGAAGACATGCTTTCATCACTCTGTCTGTTTGCATTATTTACAACTCATTTATGTCCACACCGAACAGCACATGCATATTGACTACATTCGCATGTGGTCTCTCACTATTCCTTTTCCACACAGTCCACAGTTTTGGCAAATAGGTGGAGAACTCACAGTTAAACTGTCTTGGTATGCGAAGACGAGATTGAAGCTGATTTTGACCTTCAAGTCAAAAATGAAGACTGCAAATTGCCCGGACATGAATGACTTCCTGAAATTTGAACTTGACTTCCTGAAACAGCATTTACAGGCAAGTTGTTCTCCATGCAACAGGAATGTGGTGTGGCTTCAGATTGTTTGGCGCACTTTTTTTTCTTTTTATGCTGAGCACTACACTGTCTTTGGTATGTACCAGTGTGGGCTACGAAATTGTTTCCTGTTCATTCTTTTTCCGATCCGCTTCATCCTCACAAGGGTCGCGGGGGGTGCTGGAGCCTATCCCAGCTGTCTTCGGGCAGTAGGCGGGGGACACCCTGAATTGGTTGCCAGCCAATCGCAGGGCACACAGACGAACAACCATCCGTGCTCACGCTCACACTTTGGGACAATTTAGAGTGTTCAATCAGCCTGCCATGCATGTTTTTGAAATGTGGAAAGAGTACCCAGAGAAAACCCACGCAGGCCCGGGGAGAACATGCAAACTCCACACAGGAAGGCCGGAGCCGGGATTGAACCCACGACCTCTGCACTGTGACGTCAACGTGCGAACCACTGGAACACCGGGCTGCCATTTACTGTACAGTGTTTACAAAAAAAAAAACATGGTAATATTTAAAACGGTTGGTTTAGCATCGCTGAGTCAAAGAAGTCCTAACTGCTGTGCAGTTCGCTACTCTTTGTTTTGTGATGTCACACATACGCAGTAGTGTACCATGAGTGATTGACAGGCAGCAGCTAACATGCACGGCAGCTCATGACGCATTTCCGGTGGAAAATGCGGGGACATACGTGCTCCCGGCTTCCGTTAATTTCAAGCTACCCTGACCGTCACCTGGAGGAAAAGGAACCTAAATCTTTATAATTGCCTTAATAACGTGAGTTTTTGCAATAGTTTTTTTCTGTCGCTCCTGCTGCTGCTTTTCAAGATGAAAATGTCCTCTGCTGGTGTGACGACAAAGGAATCCTTCCTCCAGCCAACTCTGTGGTGTGTGTGTATGGTCAGTTTTTTAGCTGAAAATATTTACCAGTGAGCCAGTTCTATAAAGGAGACATGTATTCTTTCGGGGAGACAATTTAATTATTGCGACATCAAATCGACAAAGAGTGTATGTTTGTCTTTCTTTCTCGTTCAACTCCCCAGTGAGTCCCAATACTACTACTGTACATCAAAGATTTTTGAACATAACATTTCTATAATTTTGTGGTTATAAAAATAGTATTTTTTTCTGTCTTTAGGTTTACTCTTGATGTCACCTGGACTTGGACTTGGACTCAGACCTCGTTGTCTTGGGCTTCACTTGGACTCAGACCTTTGTGACTCAAAATCGGCTTGGACTCTATAAAGGTGGACTTGACTACAGCTCTGACAGCAACTCCAGGACACCAATGCTGACAACCGTCCATGCGTGTCGACATATACATAGGCATGTCTCTGTACACACTGATGGAACATAGTTACCTCATGTGGAACCACTCCTTAATTTTTATGAACAACCCTTATGTCTTTGTTGACATCCTAGTCTGTCCTCTCACTTGCTCTCAGTTTCCACAGATGTTTAGGTACTGCATAGCCACTCCCACTGCACACTCCTAGCACTGTCTGGATCGCAACATCGATTGTGCTGAAAAATTTGCTCCTCCACCCATTTAGCCTTAGTAGACTCAAGTGAACTTTTGATGGTGGCACATCGCCGACAGCCAATCAGCGTCAAAAACATTCTGGTCACATGCAGCAGCAGCTGCACACGCACAAATCCACAGTCAAATAAATTTAAAATGTGGTGAAATAAAAACAATGAAGATCAATATCATTGCGGTCTGTGGGACTCAGCGATGTACCAAACAGCCAGCTTTCAATACAGGATAGGCACGACAAAACCAAAAAGGATCTGACTTGGAGGATGGGGTTAAAATACAGACAGTTGGAAACGAGGGTCGTGAGCTAGACTGAATTGTCTGACAGCAAGTTATCGGCGTGGCTGAGCTTTTAAAGGCAGATGGAAAACGAGGACATTCGTGCCTCCAATGCTGCAGCGGACTGAAACACAAACAGGACAGGATCATGACATACCGTTATACGCTCAAAAGACTTTTTTGTAAGCCTTTTACATTTACCTCCCAATTTTCGCAGCTTTCAATGAAAACGTACAACAGAGAATGCTTTGTTAAAAATGTAAGTGCCGGCTACTGAGCCATTTATTGTAAATTGCACAAGAAATCTCTAAAAAATATATATATTTTTTTTTGCCAGGCGTGATGTGCTTGCAAAGTTTCATGTTTTTTTTCCAAGGTTTACTCCCTCAAAAACGGCATATTTTTCCTTTGCAACGTGCACTTTCTGTTTTCTCACATGAGGAATAACCCCTTTTAAGCAGTGACTGAAAGCTTTTAGCCTTACGCCTGTGTACTGTCATACAAATCCACATGTTTGAAAGTCTCGCTTTATTCTCGCTCGATTTTCGCGCATTCGCAGAGGAGATCCTCAAGTGGTTTCTCTATTCCACCTGCAATACTTACCACTGTACACCAGGTGTCAGTCGAGAATGAATGTGAACCAAGCATCGAATAATGAACATTAAAATAAAGCAATAGTTTTTATTTTGCCCATCACAACTGGTGTGCGCTGTTCCTGCCACCACTCAATCGGGCCGCCATTTTCAACCACGAACTGTATTGAGATAACAATGCAATGTTATTTTACAATACACAACGTAGTCTATACGTACGTTACAAAAGTCAAATTTACAGCGAGTTAGGTGAGAAATTGTTTATTTTGAATCTGAGGACAATAGTTACTTTATTTGTAACTGCATGCTTGGAATCGGTTCTGAATGTAGTGCAACTTTACTGTCACGCTATTAAAATAAAGATTCGGCGTAATCTAATGTATATTTCTTAAAATGAAATCCAGAACAAATGGAGAGAGCGGAAGGGAAATGATGACTGATCAGGTGACAGTCAGTCACATGGTTCGGTCAGCTGATGCTAATGCTAAAGCTTAGCAACTCGTCGGACATTCTGCGGCAGAGAGAGATCTAACGATCAGATAAGATGCCTTTCTCTGAGCTTTATTTTAACGTCGATAACGGCTATCTTGAGGGCCTTGTCAGGGGATTTAAAGCCGGAATACTGTCTCAAGCTGATTATTTAAACCTTGTACAATGCGAGACCCTGGAAGGTGAGTTTAATGTGATAACTGTTCGCTATCCGTGCAAGCTAACTTCACGAACGCTATATGTCATTTTGTACTCAATGGCCAGTTAAATTAACAATGAATACGGGAAGTTAAGAACTGCCCAACGTTTATTCAATTTGGGGACTAACAGTCTATTTGTTCTCCTCGTTTGCTATGTGTCATCCGTAAAATGGGAACTACAGTGCGACCCATCGAATTCGTGCTAGCGTCCTTGCAGTCATAAATTCACTGTACAATAATCACCACGTACCTTAGCAAACATGATACGAATGTCATTTTTCCCTTCTATTGTGGGTAAATGATGGGGTTGGGGGTAACCTTTCTTTGTGTTCGTGAAACTACCTCGTTTTCGTTGCACACGTTAAACAGGTTTCTCGGGAACGTCTTTCTTTTGACATTTTATGATCAACCCGTATTCGTGAGTGAAATGTAACCTGAAAATGACATCCAGTACGTTGTAGTGTGGAAAAACAAACGAATAGCACTTACACGTAATTATTCATTAGTGTTTACATCTGCTATGTAGTGTTTCCGGATGGTTGTACTTTTATGTGCTGCTCATCTTTGAGCAAACGTTCTTGTTTTAAGGATAGTATAAGGTCCTCGTTTCTGTGTAAAGGACGACACAGTTGCAGATGCTCTGCAGTTGCTTTATTCCCATTAAAGCTATAACAAAATGCACATTTATTCAGGGGCTGCTATTGGCCACAGCTTACGCCCACTCAAACCCAACGAACTGGCTGCCTGCTTAAGACAGCATTCAAGTTTATATGATATTCCTACCCTTTCATCAATAATGTTCTTTTGTTATTCCATCCCAAAGACATCTATCCATCCATCCATTTTCCGATCCATTTCATCCTCACAAGGGTTGTGGGGGCGGGGGTGCTGGAGCCTATTCCAGCTGTTTTACGGCAGTAGGCGGGGTACACCCTGAACCGGTTGCCAGCCACTTGCAGGTCTCAAAGACATCACATACACATTTTTGACCAAGCAAATAAATAGCAACTTTTAACTTAATATCTATTACAATAATATCCAACTGTTTACTATCCGGACAAGTGCGTGTCTTCACCATTCCTATAATACTGTAATTTTGTCTTTTGTAACTGCTTATCTTGGCTAAATCCATCAGTTTTTTTCTCTTCCCTACAGACCTCAAACTTCACCTGCAGAGCACAGACTATGGCAGCTTTCTGGCTAACGAGGCTTCACCTCTCACCGTGTCCGTCATTGACGACAAGCTGAAGGAGAAGATGGTTGTTGAGTTTCGTCACATGAGGAACCAGTCATATGAGCCACTGGCCAGCTTCATGGATTTCATTACGTGAGGAAGTACAGCTTGTGTTCCAAGACTTCACACACTAACATTTCCCATATACACCAACCACACTCAACAGTATTTTGACCAGTTGCACAATCTCATGAAGTCCAGTAGAAGGGTGCAACAAATAGAACTTAGGGCAGAACATAGGTCTGTTTAAAACCAATAAATGCTGGAACATCATTAAAATAGGTACCCTAATTGTAAAGGGGAATGAAAATACAAGCTGTGCTGCTCTGTTGGGTGTTTAAAAACATTCCTGATACCTCTTGTCCCTCTGATTGTGACCACAGGTACAGTTACATGATTGATAATGTCATCCTGCTCATCACGGGAACCCTTCACCAGCGGGCCATTTCTGAGCTGGTGCCCAAGTGTCACCCACTGGGCAGCTTCGAGCAGATGGAGGCGGTCAATATCGCTCAGACTCCAGCTGAGCTGTATAATGCCATCCTGGTGGACACGCCCCTTGGTAATTGCCCTCTTACGCTCAATCAACAGACACGAAAGCCGCTTTTCCATGACTGGTTTCAGACTGACTCGACACCACACTGCAGGAGGCCACTTGGCCTGGCCTCCGTGGGTTTCTGGTGGTGTCAATTGAACTGTGTAAGCCTCCACTGCTTAGTGCACAGTCACAGCGTGCAGGGTTCTCCTATATTTCCCAAGTGGCAAGTCTCGGCCACTGGTTTTGCGGAGATTCAAAATACGAATTGCCGTTGCATTATGTGCCGATGTCGCAAATGACATGCCATCAAATTCACAGAAGTTTCACATCTAAATGAAAAACCCATGAGCGAGACACAGCTACCCACCAACTGACAAGACAGAAATACTGTGTGAGTGTGAGCTTCAGTGAATGGCATGCTCTGTAGACCCACTTTTTTAGTGGGTGGGGCTTGCCAGACTATGTGTGCAGTGGCGTACTTGCTACATCGCTTGAACTCCTAAATCTGTCGGCCAATCAGTTGAGAGCGACATTGCGGCTCGAGTCGACCTGCGAGGTGGTTGTGCCAAGTGGTTCTATTGTCCTGCGCAGCCCCGAAAAAGCTCAATGGAAAAGCGACCCGTCAGAGCCGAACAATGCCATTCCGGTGTAGAACCAGTAAAATGGGAAAGCGGTTTTAATAGTCTTGTTAGCTCATGTAGAACAGAGGGTGCTTGTAAATATATGAGAAGCAATTCATTTCCTGTTCTACTTTGCTTCCAGCTGCATTTTTCCAGGATTGTATATCTGAGCAGGACTTGGATGAAATGAATATTGAAATCATCCGTAATACACTCTACAAGGTAAAACATTTTCTTGTGGTCACAGATCTTTGTTATTGCATGAAGAATTTACCAACCAAACGGAGAAACACAACAACAGCAGGAGAACCAACAAAGTACAGTGGAAATGATGCAGTTTTATGACCGATAACTTCTGATAAGAGGTTGAGACTTTTATGTGGTAGCTAATAGAAACACAATCTTTTCAAGACTGTCATTCAATACTGTTGAAGTTGGTTTTACCCCTGACAATCATTTTATTTGCTGTCTGTATATTGATTTTCTCAGGCTTATCTTGAAGCATTCTATAAGTTCTGTTCCAACCTTGGAGGAACTACAGCTGATACCATGTGTCCCATCTTGGAGGTGAGTATCTGCTTCGCTTTTAAATTGAAAGTAATGCACAACATTCTGTTGATACACTTGCAGGTTGTGGCTACAGGTCTTCTTAATGGGGCTGCTAAGCTCTGATCGTCGTCATAATTTGCATTACATGAAAGAGGCATGAAACATTCAGGGTTTTCTCTTGACAATAAAAGTTATATTGTAAGATGTGGAGGCATTCTCCGTTTGTCCCCTGGGGGTCAGCGAGGGGTCATTAACCTCCAGAATATGAAATTTCTTTGCATGAAATTAGAAAGTGATGTCTTAGGATCCGAATTTGATAGAAATGTAAACTTGATGTATTTCCATGTTTCTGCCCAAGAAACTATTTCATAATAAATCAATACCTCCATAGGTCAATAACAGTCACTCTCAGAGGTCAGGTGTCAAAGGTCGCATAGGAAAAAGACAATTGCACATATAGGTCACTCTAGATACAGCATGTGTATCTTTGTGTTTTTTCAATTACGTTTCAATACGGACACGACAAAAAGAGGCTTATGAATATGGATACAACAAAATGCACCGTGTTTTCACGACCATAAGACGCACATAAAAGTCTTAAATTTTTTCCAAACTGGACGGGGCGCCTAATAATGTTGGTCGCCTTGTGTATGAACTGAGTTCCAAAATGTGTGAATGCTGTTGTGTGACGTCGATGACGGGTCCGCTTGACAGACTGGTGTTGTGTTGGCACGTTGTTTATACAGAGAAAAGGTGGACGTAACTGAGGACAGCATGCGGACTTTAAATTGGGAAGGGTGGGTGTGAAAGAGGAATGCTAGAGGCACGCCCTCAGTAGGTGTCAGTCCGTGCGTTGTGCAAAACAACATCCCGAAAATGGCATCTACGAAGAGACACGCTTACAAAGCAGAATTTAAACTGCAAGCTACGGGTAGGACCATGGGACTCGAGCAGCCGCGAGAGAATTCAAGATCAACTAATCCATGGTGCTTGATGCTTTCGTTTTATGAAACGGCGCTATCTATCCATCCGGGGTAGAACGACCGTTGCGCTGCAATATCCCGCGGATTACAAAGAAAAGCTGGCAAACTTCCTCTCCTACTGCAGTAAAAAGTGTAATGTTCTGCGTTACATTAAATAAAGACACTTTCTTGGAGATTTTAATCCTTTATTCTGCCGGCTTCACTTAGGTTCCATTTCTGATTGTTTTCTCAACCAACCCACACAGGCCTACATACCCACTTGGACTACGGCAAGTGTTGAGGGACAAGCATACTTTGCATTTTGAAAGACAACAACAAGATTGCCGACAGCCATATAGTTAAAGCTAAGCTTACGTTTTACCATTGCGTGCGTCCAATAATTACAATCCGTCTTGTGTATGTATCAAATACAGAAATGGCACCCGTCACTTTCACTACGCGTTCGAATGTGATGCGTCATGTGGTCGTGAGAATACGGTAGGCCACTTCAACGTCAACATCATAAAGAGCAGACTTGAACCACTCAGAAACTCCCAAAGTTCAGTGCGAGTGAGACTCCCAATGCAACATAAACGGAGTTGAACACATTACATGATAACCATTGTCAAATCTTTGATGATACAAAGGGTTTTGTTGAAAAAGGCCTTTCCACAGGGTTTCCAACAGTTTTAGTGACAGCAGTCACCAGAACATGTGTGCACTGCTCTGCATTTTAATGTATGGTTTTTACATTTACAGTGCACAACGCATATTTTCCATGTTTTGACTTGATAAAAACTGTCATGTCTGCTCAGAGAACGTGGCCAGTTGTGTCCTCCAGTGCAGCCCACTGGACTTGAAACTTTCTGTCTTTGCTGTAGTTTGAGGCTGATCGAAGAGCCTTCATCATCACCATCAATTCATTTGGCACGGAGCTTTCCAAGGAGGACCGTGCTAAGCTCTTTCCACATTGCGGCAAGCTTTACCCCGAAGGTCTCGCTCAGCTGGCCCGGGCTGACGACTATGAGCAGGTCAAAGCTGTGGCTGATTACTATCCCGTAAGTTCGAAAGATTTTTGGTCTTCTTTAGGGCTGCATCTATCGAATATCACTATTAGACACAGTGACGTCAGAACCACAGGAGGCTTTTGATTTTTGCTGGGGAGGTTCAGAGTGGCAGTAGGAGCCACATACAGACACGTCTGCTTATGCACAAGCTCTCCCTCCTCGGTGCAGCATCGCTTAAATTGGGTTTGGAGCAACAACACTCCAAACACAGTCTGGGAGACGAGTCAAGTCAGCCGTTACAATGCAACACGCTCCCGGCAACAACTTCAAAATAAAAACATGGTATTGAAGTTGGCCCTCTCACCACGTTGGTTACTGTCATGCAGTGTGTGTACAGTTGTTGCTGAATGTGCCTTGACTACTTCTTCCTGAGGTTATGGCAGGACACATGTAAATGAGTGGGTACTCAAGGTGGGAAAAAATGTTTTTTTTTTTAAATCGAGGTCCTCGAGTTACTCTGCGATTCGTTTTACCCCAAGTCGTCTTTTTCACAGTAGGCCTGCTCAATGCACGGCAGTTATTCTGTGTGGGATGTTTGATAAGTAAATGACAACTTTCGAAATCCCTCTATTTTCTTTCTATTTCGTGTTCGTTTTGTGAGCAGCCGATTGTGCAATTAAACATGTTTGTGCGTGTGTCTGTGTGTGTTTTTCAGGAGTACAAGCTGCTGTTTGAGGGTGCTGGCAGCAACCCAGGCGATAAAACTCTGGAGGATCGCTTCTTTGAGCACGAGGTGCCTATTTGCTGATAAATCCCTTGCTTCCCGTTTTTGTATTGACCATATCCGCTGAAAAAAAAAATGCTGTGATTTAAACATACTCCGTTTGACATCGTGTGATCAAATCGTCCTTTGCTGATCCATCTTCATGTTTTCAACACAGTCCCTTCCAAAAGCACTGGAATGGCAAGGTCAATTCCTTCGTTTTTGTTGTTATACTGATGACATTTGGGTGTCAGATCAAAAGATGAATATGAGCTCAAAGTTCAAAATTCCAGTGTTTATTTGATAGCATTCACATCTAAGTGTGTTGAACATTTCCTCCCCAACCAATACACTTGTTATCGGGCTGCATAGAGACCAAAAATAAGTAAATAAAATTCATAGCGCATCAGCTAACCTGTCTCCCTGTCGATGAGCTTCCAAAAGTCAATCTAAGTAGGGCTTGGTGATTATAAGATTGAGAATTGATACCACGTTACCAGCTGCGAGCCGTGTGCATATTTCCTCCATCAGACATCAGATGTGGCAGAAATGTGTGCAGCCAATCAGATTCCAGCTTTTCCTTCTAATTTTGGTTTGCAAGTTGACATCAACAGAATCCGCCAATCAATGGTGGAAGACGCAGTCAACAGAAAGTAATGGGAACAATGACCGAATGTGCAACTAAACGCCCAGCTGATGGGCAGTGTTATCTTACATTGTTCTACATTTGAAATGAAGGGAAAAAAGTCATACAGAAATAAAATGTTGAATTACGTTGTTGTCAGTGCCAATGCTTCAAAAGTGGCAATTTGAAAGCAATGAAAAGTAGATTTTTATACCCCTGTACATAGACACTTCATCATGCAACAAGACGATGACCGAAAACAAACTGCCATCACAGCAAAGGACTTTGAGGGGGAAAAAGTGGACGTTTTTAGGCTGGCCAAGTCAGTCACCGGTCCTGAACCCAATCAACCACGCATTTCACCACCTGAAGGGGAGACTGAAGGGAGAAACCCTCAGAAACAAAGAAGAACTAAGAGAGGCTGCAGTGTAGGCCAGGAAAAAATTTTCAAAGAATGCAACAGTTTGTTGAAGTCATTGGGTCGTAGGCTTGATGCAGTTATTGCGTGTAAGGCTTATGCCACCAAACCTAAAATGTGATGCAAATTAAATTGGGTTCATGTCTGTTCCAATACTTTTGCTCTCTTGACAAGTGAGTGGCTTGAGACAAAGGTTGCTCTGGACGGAGTTGTTCAACATATCCGTCTCGAAGCGAATACCATGAAATAGAAGCTGGTATCCTCAATTTTTATGTCATCTTCTAATCTGAAACCCAAATCTCTTCAGTACACAACATAAACAAAGGAATTGACATTGCCAAAACTATACTTAGTGTGACACTTTATTATTTTTTTTTGTGGTGTACTATGAGAGTTTTGTCACATAAAATGTGTGCCTTGGCTCTGAACAGGCTGAGAAGCCCCAATCAAAAGCACCACTTGAGAAATAAATGGCAAAGGGAACACCTCTCTTTGAGTGATCGTAACTGATACGTTGATGTTTTGTCTCGCTAAGGTCTCTCTCTTCCCGTTCTACTTCCTCCTCTTCCAGGTGAAACTGAACAAACTGGCTTTCCTGAATCAGTTCCATTTCAGTGTTTTCTACGCTTACGTCAAGCTGAAGGAGCAGGAGTGCAGGAACATTGTCTGGATTGCCGAATGCATTGCCCAGCGGCACCGTGCCAAGATTGACAACTACATTCCAATCTTTTAGGTTCCCTTCTTTGCTTTCATCCGACCCATTTCATTCAGTGTTTTGGCTCAGTCGATTCACTCCCGCCTCGGTGTGAAAGCATCTGATGCCACCATGCCAAGCGGCCTTCATTCTTTCGTTGTTGGCAGAAGTTGGTCCTCCATAAACCATGTTATGGCCCTTTATACAAGTCTTCATTCGTTGGTCATTGGTGAAGCACTGGTTCTAAACTTTTGGATGCATTGTACTGTATATTCTTCGTAACCCTGTGCTCTGCGTATTCTTTCTGATGCCAGGTTGTGGAAAGCATCTTTTTGAACAGTTTGGATAGCTGAGTAAAAGAAGCATGACTGGAACTGCAACAAAGTTCCTAATAAGAGACTAGTAATGTAAGCAATGCAGGTGACGGTCATAAAATGTGAATATCATGAAAACGTTGATTCAGTCCAGTAATGCCATTCACAAAGTGAATCTTTTATATTATATTCATTCATAACAGCCAGGCTGATATATTTCAAATGTTATTTATTTTTATTTTAATTTAGAACTGACAACTAATGACATTCTCAAATTCAGTATCTCAGAAAATTTGAAATATAACGGTCTGTGTACAATGAGTAATATACACGTTTCACTTTTTGAGGGAAATTCCTTAAACGGGTCAACTTTTTCATGATATTTTCATTTGGTGACCAACAACCTGCACAGACACGGCCAATAATCAAATTAGATTGTCAGAATTTGAAAAGGTTGTCTTTTGAGCGTTCGTCAACCCCATTTTAAAACTATAGTTTGTGATGCTTTCAGATGGTCTTTCTGTTGCCCCCGAAGTGAAATGAACAGGACTCAGACTTGATAATGTGCGTAGTCATGATGTCCTTAATAAGGCAAAGCTCATCGCTCCTCTTCTGAGAGCATTTTCATCCCCAGGCTCAGCCACTAAGGTACCTTGTAGCATAGACGACGGAGATTAATCACCTCTGCAAACAGTAAAATGGAACCCACAAATACCCTGACCATCTGTCTGAAGAAAACATTCCGCTACCCGAGTTGTCGATATTTATGTTAAGGGCAACCTGTATAGCAGTGTTTTGTTGTGCTCCATCCCCAACCCTCCAACCTGCCTCCCCCCACCCCCACCAAAAAAAATCTATAGAGTAAAATGTTAAGTCGCTACCTTCTTGTTGGCTAATTGAGTGTTGTTCAATATAAGATGTGGAATAGAACATAAGTTTTCATTCTGCATCCAACCTTTTGTGTGATGTTTGAACTCCAGATTGACATTGCAGTAAGTGTATGAAAGATATAAACATAAGATATTTAAAAAAAGAATCACTATTTGTGTTTTTCCGTGCTGTACAAATTACGTTATACAGATTTTGATGTTTCCTGTCAAGTGTGTTGTACATGTAACAAAAATAAATAAGATTCTGGTTGCACCTGAGTCCACTGTTGCTTCTGGTACATCCATGATTTTGTGTAGGATTTGAATTCGGCAGGCAAAACGTTTTACAGAATGGCTCCTCTCACAGAATTCCAGACTTGGCAAATTCAACTTTTCTAAAAGACACCTTATATTCTTATGCGTTTTAAAAAAGTGTCACTTATATTTTAGTTGCAGACAAAGTTGAATGCCCTGGTGAAAATGTGAGAATAAATGCTTGTTTGTGTGTGCCATGCCATTGACTGGCGACCAGTCCAGGGTGATCAGACCTCTTTGAGTCAGAAGGGATTCACTCCAACTCACCCATAAGCGTGACAAGGACATGCAGTGAAGAAAATGGATCTAAATGTATTTTTTTGAAACCGTTCACTCATTTCCGATCAAAGTTACTTTTCACTCCAAAATGTGAACTGTGGCTGGTTTGTGTCACTTAACGAACAAGCATGAGTTTCACTTCAAGGTGTTTTGAGTGTTGTTACAATTCGATTTTTGTCCTCCCAATCTTGATACAAATTCCTTCTTAAATCTTTCAATGCAAAGCTAAGGAGCAAACGGTACAAAAAGTGTTTCAGGAGGCTGAACTTTTTCTTGGTTTCATTAAGTGCGATGAGCTCCAGCTGCAGCACCACACATGAGCCTCCGGGTTTGTCTGAATTGAAGAGGCCAAAAGCAAAAGGAATCCCAAGTTCTTTGCAAGATCTCAATATGACTTTCCAGCTTCAAACCACTGCCCGACTCGTTGACCTGCACTGCTCTGTCGGTTTGACAGACTGGGATATGGACAAGGAGCTGAAACTTCTCACAACCACTGACCAGTTTTGCCAAGGTGAGTATTTCAACTTCTCTTTGGTTTCAAGTCACCCCAAATTTTAGCTGGCTTGCAAAATGAATGAACGTGCGCGTGTCTTGCTTTGACGGGTGTTGACGCACTCTCGGCCTTGTTCTCTGCCGAAACTCCTTTTGTGAAGTACGCCAACCAACAAACTGATAATAAATGGGATGTTTAATGCTAACCTAAAATTGTACTGAATGCTTGGATCAGATCTGGATGAAATTTTGACATCCTCTAATTTTCTTGTTGATTCAGAGTTAATTGAATTCAGAGTTTTGCTTGCTTATAAATTGGGGTGGGGGGGGGGTGATCTGGTTTTGGTTGATGGAATCAATTCCAGAATAAGCTACATTTTCTCAAGTAAGAAATAAAGAATGTTACTGTCCCCGCACAATTCATAAAGGACATTATGATGGCTGTGTGTCATTTTATTTTTTTTTTAAACCTCAAGATGATAAACTTGGTGACCAATATGTGGCACAGAGGCCTTTGGCAAGAGCGTCCAGAAGAAAAGATGAGTTCATTTGGTATGACAAAACATCAGGTGAGTGTAACTTTTTGACTACAAAAATGTCTGCCCCGAAACAAGGGGCGGAATGATGAGCAGAGTAATCAATTCTAAAACAGGTTTGTCAGTGACAACCCTAGCTATTATGAGTAATTGTGGCATGCACGTGTTAATTTCTCACAATTAGGGAAAGGCTAAAAACCAATATGCAACACGTTATTTCCACAAATGCCCTCCATTGTTTACATTTTCAAATGATCACTGATAAAACATTTGTCAAATCACTACATCCTAATTGAGGTATTTTTAGAACAGCCCTGCGGGCTACTTATTTGGTCCTTGTGTCACCATGTTGGTGACCCCTGCCTTAAAGCAACAATTTAAAAATAATTTTTAAAAAGACCATTTCAAAAAAAACAAAATAAAACAATAGATGATGGAAAAAGAGGAACTTTATCCTTAGACTGGGTCTGTAGTTCCACTCTGCATGTGCCTGTTTTAGTGGTTTTTTTTTCTTCTTAGTCTGTGTGGGTTTTTATGTTTTATTTTTTTGGTCAGACACCTTTGTGAAGCCAAACCTGTGGCTCCTCGTCAATCCTAACATTGCCTGTCCGATCGTCGATGGAGAACCTTCAGCAGGTTCGCTGACTCTCCAAGACCTTCCAGAGGAAACCCAAAATCCACTGGTTGTGTGTTCACAAGTCACAAAACGACACACGTTTTCTCCCCAGAACAAAGGAACGCGCGTTGTTTCCTCATCCAATGACTGCATGGTACAGTATATAACTGCACATGTCCATACTGGACATGTTGCAACACAATTGACATACAATGATTTATAGAATTTTCAGAGCATGAACTGTCCAGTGTGCCACATTTTAGTCTGTACTCAATAAATATCCAGAAGGATTTAGTTGCAGAAGAAGATCACAAGTAGATTGTAAGTGATGCAAACAATATTTTACTTTTTATCTGTGACACGAAGAATGAAGGCTCCTCTAGCCAGAAGAGACATCGCAGACGCAAGGGGAGAACCCCAAAAGTATGGGTGAGGAGACCTAACACATGGCATGATCCTAAAAGAACATTCCAAAATGTCGTCAAGAAAACCTGAAATCTGTTTTTTTTTTTTTTTTTCTTTCCCAGGACAACAAAACCTTGAAGCCAGGATGTTGGCCTCGTCCACCAGTGAATTATTGCATCCTCATTGCCCTGGCACTTAAAAGCAGTCACAATGGGAGCCTCAAAGTTCAACAGATTTACAACTTCACCAGGTCAGAAAATGACCACCGCATGTGGCAAATGGAGTACAAGATGGATGGTTTCATGTCATGATATTAACCACAACTGACGTAGACTGCAAATATGATAATTAGAATGAGATGCTTTGCTTCACCTTCATTGTAGTCATCCTCAGTTGTACCTTTTTTGGAGGTGGCGGGGGGGTCTTACTGCTTCAATGGGCTTTGGTTGGCTGGAAACAACGATACTGCATTATCATACATTGCTTTCCTTCACATTTGTGATTACACAGGAATAGGTATGTGTATTGTCAAGGCACCATGATGAATGCAAACGGCTTGCTTACAACAATATGGAAAACATTGGTAAACATTCAACAGAAAGGCGGGAAAAGAAACCTTCTGAGACTCACTTGACGAGCTCGTGATCAAAGGTACAGCACATCATAAGGAGGACTGGCGCAACATTGAGAAGGAGGAATCTCACAATTTGTGGTTGACTGCAAAAAAGTGACATTTGTTGTCTTCACAAATGTCAGAATCCCTCTGTTTATTGTTAATGGCACATACTCAGTGGAAATTAAGTAAATATTTAGGATTTTTGGAATACTGTAGCCAGGGGCGTCACTAGGTTTCAAGAACAAGGGGGGCGTAGCCCCAAGGGGAACACAGCCCCTTTAGGGGGGTCCGGGGGCATGCCCCCCCGGGAGAATTTTTTTCTACATTCTGTTAAAAATCCATCAATTCCGTGCACTTTGAGAGCAAAATGAAGAGGCTATGAAGAACTACACACATCACATTAGTATCCTCTTTACTATGATGGGGCTTCCTCCCCTGGACTTTAACTGGACTAGATAATAGAAATTATAAAGAGTTCAAAAGTTCAATCTTGGTTGTTCAAGGAAATTAAAAGGATGCCCGATAACATAACCTATATGACAGTAGGCCTATATTCCTCTCTACCAAAATGTATTAATATATGCTGAGCCCCCAGAAGACTATGTATTTTGAGATGTCTGCCGTGATATGCAATTTAAGTTAGTACAATGAGATGCAAAAGCTTCATCACTTTGGAAAAACACAAGTTTGCTGCTCAATACTTACTGTAAGCTCCGATTGCATTTTGGGAACAGCCTTGCAAGTAAAATTAGCCTTGAGATCTGATAGACTCCCCTGTCCAGCAGAGCCCCCCCCCCCGCTCACTCTCTGTGCGTCTTTAGCCTGATTCCTATCAAATAAATACATTTATTTATTTTATATTTATTTATTTATTTTATATAGGCCAAAATCTCAATAGGTGTTGCCTCAAAGAGTTGGTGTAATGATTATTTATGTATTTAATAATAAAATGTTGCTTAATTTTTATTAAGCACCACCTTAATTTATCCAAAAGTGAACACTTGTTACAGGGCAGTTTCTGCTGTTACTGGAGATATTTTAGCGGACTATAGTCACTAGTTTTACCAGCATGGATGCATTGAATACTTAATTTACCTTTCTAAAAAACTGTCGAATATCCATGCTGTCGACTCAACCTGACTTTCGGCAATGAACTGTCAGTTGTTGCGTTAGCATTTGACGTGGCGATGGTGACAGACACGTCAAATGCTAACGCAACAGGCATATAATTTAAAATGGCCACATTACATTGAATTTGATGCAATATATTAGCAAAAGTACAGGAAAAATAAATAATACTTTTTTTTAAATTAATGCAATGAAATTATTTAGGGGGGCTAAAGACATTTTTAGGGAGGCTGAAGCCTCCCTAAAATAGGCCTAATGACGCCCATGACTGTAGCCATTTAATGGCACTGTAGCCTGACCATACACTTTTTGTCATTCCCCAGAGAACACTTCCCTTTCTTTCAGACGGCTCCTGATGGCTGGAAGAACACAATTCGACACAACCTGTGCTTCAACAGCAGCTTCCGCAAAACCTGTAATCAGATGTGCAGAGATGGTAAAAGAAAGTCCTGCTTTTGGCACCTGACTCTAGACGGCCAACACCGACTGAAGGATGAGCTCCACGCGTTGCCGGTGGAATCTTTAAAGCAGTTGGAGAGGAGCATGTCCTGTCCAGGTGAATGTGATCAAACTACAATATGTGAAAGAGCAAAACAATTATTACTTCAAGATGAAGATGTGATGACTAATTTGCTCCCCTTTCCCATGTTCTTTATTGCAGATATAATTACAAAACTACTTGGGATGTGACAGCAATTATCAAAAGCATGAAAGAATAAATGATGCAAAAACATTTTCTAGTTTTTTTTTTCCTATGCTTCATTCATTC